CCCATAGAATATTCTAGATTTTATTCGTCCTCAATAGCCTCTACCAGGGATTTGGAGTCAGGGACCAAACACCAAGATGTGAAGTCCTAAAGACTTAGGCTGCCTTATAGTGGAATGTCGGGGTACACTCTTCTTCCTGAAATAGCCATTCCATTCAGCTCTGAGGGACTGAAGGAGGCACATCCATGGTGAGTGGTGCTTTCCTGGGGGGGAGAGGGGCAGCTATGGATATCCCTCCACATTTGCTGGAGCTGAGCATCTACAATGTGCCACACAGGCACAGGTGCTGGGATATAAGTCCCTGCCTTCTTGGACCTTAAATCCAAGAAGGAGCAACAGCGAACACATAGACAGCTGATGTGCATTCTTCTAGTGCCTAAGGATGAATAGCAATGGCAGAATGAGCAGGATGTGGGACACAGAGTGGTGACCAGGAAACCCAGGACAGTCTCCCAACTTCTTATGGAGAGACCAGGGACCTGTGTGAAGTGAGGAACTTCAGAAGGTGTACAAGAGCTATGTTGCTGGCAGAGTATTATGGACTCAATATTTGTATCCCCATACTCCAAATTTGTATGTTTAAGCCTTAATCTGCAATGTGATGGTTTTTGGAGGTGAGTTTTTGGGAGGTAACTAGGATTATTTGAGGTCATAAGAATGGTACCCTCATGACTCATGAAGGCTGCCTAGTCTAGTTATTCTGTTATGGAAGCCTGAGCTGATGGAGACACAGGTCCAAGGCTCAACAACACACAGGCAGCAAGGCCCAAGGCTCTGAGTAGGGAAGCGCTTGGTAGCTCTCAGGAGAAGCAGGAGGGTGGTTGATTTGCTCTCAGAATGTGAAAAACTGGAGGGAGGCAGGGGCCCCAGCAGGATAATGCAATTGGGGTATCTTTTCTGCAGGGGTCAACTGAACAGTTAAGGGGGCAGGGAGATAATGTGATCTGTTTCCCAATTTTAAGGGGTGGTTTTGGCTTGTTGTGGAGGAAGCAAGGGACATTGATTAGGAGGTGAGAGGATGGTGACTTGAATAGCGTGATACAGGTGGGAGTCTGAGACGTAGGATTTGCTGATGGAGGAGGGAGCAAAGGATGACTGCTAGATTTTTGGTGAACTTAGGTGAAGCCCTAGGACAGGAGCAAGAAGTAGGGTGTGTGTGTGTGTGTGTGTGTGTGTGTGTGTGTGTGTGTGTTCCTAGGTGAAATCAGACAATGATGAAGCTTAGCCACAGGACTCTGGATTCAGGGAAGAAATCCATCCTGGAGGTCATGTTTGCAATTTATTAGTAACAAGGACTTCTGGGACATTCTTCAGTGACTTCTGTGTTGTGATGATGACTGTAGTATGGATGGAAGAAGTGAACTAAACACTTTAGATGCATGATCTCACTCAATCCCCACAATCCCCTGATTTTTCAGCAGATTAATGAAACTGAGGCACAGAGAGGTGCGTTGTCATGATTCATTTTTGAGAAGTGCTTCATTGCAGGGTACTGGTGACAGCCTGTTCCCCAACATGACAGGCTGCCTACATATACTTTATGAACGAGGAATCCTATCTTCCTCAGCCTCAGCGCTGTGCACATTCCACTGCTGGGTCTCGTGATGGGAATCATGGTGGACATGAGCTCTGGGGACATGGGTTCGAGTCCAGAGTCTGTTCTATGAGATAGACGCTTTATTTAGGACAATGAACGTACAGAGTGCTCAGGATGTCATCCGGGTGCTTTTTTCTCATGCCTGCTGTCTTTGGTTTCTGTCTGTTCCTTAGCCAGTTACCAGGCAGCTTCTGCCAGCCTAACCCCTTCTAGCCAACTCTCATTTCCTGGCCGTGCCAGCCTGATTACTTCTAATTGTCTCTGACTGCTTCCAGCTGGGTCTTCTAGCTGGCGTTCTGTGGGAGCACACAGACAGCCCCTCAGCCATATGGAAGGAGATGGGGAAGGAGAAGAGGGAGACAGAAGCAGCTGGTCCCAGTCAACCGAGACGGCTCTGCAAGGTTCTGCGGCCCTCTCTGATCGGTCATGTTTTTTAAAGGGTTAACTCATCCAAGTTGGAGAATGGCCCTTCTTTGACAAATGATTATATTTGTTGGTCCCCAAAGACAACCAACAACGTAACTAAAGATGCTCTTAGAGTTATTAGTAACGTCTCCCCCAGGATAGATGGGGTCTTGCTACCATGAGCAAGAAAACTTCACTTGAGAGTTAGTGAATGATTGTTTTCATTCATTCAACAAATATTGACTGAATAATGACCATGTCTCAGGCACTGTGATTTAGGCATTGTAGGGCAAATAAAAATAAAATCACACATAGCCTCATGCCCTTAATTATTCTAAAAGTGAAGAAAGACATTCACAATAAATACTATGTGAGACACGAGAAGCAGATGAAATGCATGCTATGGAGTAAGAGAAGAAAAGGGTGATTAGTTTCTTGCAGCTCATTGGTTGGAGAGGAGAATACCTGTGGGGAATACCTGTGCCAGGTGAGAATGGGTCAGAGACAGCAGACTGGTGGTGAGTATAGCATGGGTAAAGGTGTGGAAGTAGAGAAATCCAAACCTGCACGAAGATAGCTGGTATGTAATGCCCAGAGAGATCCCAAAGGTGGAGAAAGCCAGAATTGAGTTTGGGCTAGTTCTAGTCAATCAGATATTTCCTGCATCTCTAATATTAGGGCAATGCAATGTTCTGTGTACCAATTCCGGAGTCATTCCTTATTAAACATGCCCATTTCGGAAATCAGGACCTGTAGTTCAAAATGCAGTGGCTAAGCCTAGGCAGAGTAGGATTTGGACTTCTCTTTGGCATCCATCCCAGTTGATGGAATTAGCAGTGAACTTGAATCAAACCCAAGCAGCAGGCTTGAAAAAGATTTAATAGGCCTGGATTTTCTCTCCTTTTCACCCCTTTCCTGACCTCCACCTTGAAAGGATAATTGAAACATTTTAGGAAAGAAGATCTCTATTTCATTGTGTCTTCCACAATTTGCATGGAGTTTTGTTTTTGCCATAAAGATACTTTGATGAACAATCTCTGAAATTTGCCTTAAACTGTAATAAATAAATCTCTAAATTTTCATAGTTATGTCATAAAATTAAATTCTTTAAAAATGAATACAACATTGGAGAGACTCCAAAACCTTTTCTGATGGAAGATTTAGAATGGTTTTGATCCTAAAGTAACCTCCATATTCCTCATTCATTAAACATTTGTTGAACATCTACTCTGCCGCTGGTCACCATCTCTCTCCCACGTTGCTTGTCCTCTTAAAATCTGATTACTAAATTAGAAACGCGAAAGCCTGCAGAAATTGTAGGTGTAGACCAGGGATTAAAAAAAAAAAGTCCCTTAAACACAGCAAGAGAAAAAATTAAAGTGTATCTTTAATATAGGAAAATGGGAACAACCGAGCGAACCAACAGAAACCACAAAATGCTCCATCATAATAACAAGGTTGGTGATATGTGGCACGAGTGGTTCAAAGTACCATATTCGAAATCATATCTATTTAAAATAGAAAATTGGTGTTTCTCTGGGTTACTTTTCAGATGGTCTGGGAGCCCCCAAGCCTGGATTAACGATGGCTCTATGCCCCTCCCCCAGTTTCCCAGCACTGAGGTGGATTGATGTCATACTTGTTTACTGAGGAGTAAACAATGAAAGGAACTTTGTTAGGACCAAATCCGAGGTTAAGTTTGCATTAAACGCGGGCACCTCAACAGGTAGCATTTTACAAATGTCTCCCTCCTACCTACTCTGTAGCTTCTCCCTTAGAGAATTCCTCATTTTTCGGTTCAGGAAGATGTTGGAGATCCTGAAGAGGGTCTGTGTCGTCAGAGCAGCTGCAATTGTTTATGCGAGATGAACATAGCCCCAGCGCTCTTAGAACAAAAGCTCCGAGGTGCGGCGTGCGCACGTCCAGCTCAACCTGCACTCAAAGGCAGCATTTCAACCCGAGGCAAAGAAGGTGTAAACGTACACGTAGAGGCAGCAGACGCCCTGATTCCTACGTTGCAGCCGCTACTATTACGCTGGCGGCTGCTCCTCCTTCAATACAGCAATCGGGTCTGCGTGTGAACAGGGGCACTCGTCCTGCCACCTCCCCCATCCTTTCTTGGACCCATCCATCTAGCCATCCATCCAGGGTCCAGCGGGTCCTGTCGTGCGCCAGGCTCTGAGCTGAGCACTCAACCCAATCCACAGTTCACAGGGTTCCCTCCCTTCCCCACTTCCCGGGTGGGTGCGGCTGGTGGGCGGGGGTGGGTATTTCACTGCCCAAAGGTCCAGAAAACCCAAACCCAGAATCTGGGTAAGCCGCAGAGAGGAAGACTGCCCGACTTGGGCGGTCCGGGAGCGCGCGTCTCCGAGGCCGCGCAGGGTCCCCCAGTCTGGTGCTCAGGTGGCTCCGCCGCCCACTTCGGCGCTCCCCTCCCCTTTCCAGCTAGGGGCGAGTTTGGCTGTTGCGCGCGGGGAAGGAGGGGCTACGAGGGATTTGAAAGTGCACAGGCTGCGGAGTGGAGCTCGCATCTGTTCCCGCCGCCCGCGACCGGATTAAATTTCTGCAAATTCAAACTGAATGGGGCTTTCTTCTACTGCCTTCCAGAGGGCGCTTGCAGCCCGCCGCGAGTTCCTCTCGGGCGGGAGCGTCTGCCCAGCGCACGGCTAGGAGCAAACCAGCCGGACCCGAGCCTGTGAGGGCCAGACGGCTGCTGCTAGGGCGGAGGCGGAGGCGGCGCCCGGGCTCCGGGACCCAGCCACCGACCGCACCTCTTCCCGGGCGTGCAGATCCCTGCGAACCCGAGTAGGGGGACTGTCATCAACCCCCTGGACGGTATCGGGGGCGGGATCGCGGGTCCTGAAAGGAGCCCGGGCGACCCTCGGAGGAAGAACTTCTTGGGGGCGGGTCCCGGATCGCCCCGTCGCCTGGGCGGCCGCTATTGTCTGCGCGCTGCTCTCGGTGGCGCGGGGGGCGTGAGCGCGGCGGCCCCAGGAGCTGGGCACCGAGACCCGGGCCGGGCGGGGCCGTGGTTGGGGTGGCGGCGGGAGGAGCTGGGGCAGCTTGGGAGCCGGAGAAGGAGGAGCTGCACGCGCGGGAGCCTAGTCCGAGCGGCGCGGGCTGCGGGCAGGCGGGATGCCGGCGGCGGCGGGAGATGGGCTCCTGGGCGAGCCGGCGGCGCCGGGTAGTGGCGGCGGCGCGGAGGAGGCGGCCAGGCCGGCGGCGGCCTGTGAGGGAAGTTTCCTGCCGGCCTGGGTGAGCGGCGTGCCCCGCGAGCGGCTCCGCGACTTCCAGCACCACAAACGCGTGGGCAACTACCTCATCGGCAGCAGGAAGCTGGGCGAGGGCTCCTTCGCCAAGGTGCGCGAGGGGCTGCACGTGCTGACCGGAGAGAAGGTGAGCTTCCTGGGCGCCGGCCTCTGGCCCGCGGGTTACGGGCTCCGGGAGGGAGCGGACGGCCGGACCCTGCAGAGAGCATGGCACCGGGAGTACCAAAGCATCGTCCCGGGCCAGGCGCCCCCCACTCCACCTGGCTTTTCTCTCTGGCCAAAAGAGGGGTCGAGCTAAACGCGCACTCAGCCCTCTCCGTAGGGGGTCATCTGGCACCCACTGATGGGTGGTCTGGGGTCATTTTCCTGGGGCGGGGTGGGGGGTGGCGACCGACTCACCGCGAAGTGGTCCCACGTATCCTTTTTGCTTTTCGAAAGGCGCCACCTGGCGGACACCAGAGCAGGAGGGGCAGGGCGCAGGAGTTCGGGGACTCTGCGCTCTCTGTGGGTAGGGGAGACAGATCCTTGGAGAGGCAAGAATAAGAGATAGAGGACCTGACTCTTACGTGCGAGGCGGAAGGGCCGATATAGCCGGCCTTAGGGGTGGCTTAAGGTTTGATCCCTTTCTAGGCTCTGGGGAGGAGCTGGGGAAAGGCTGAAACCCTACAGATATTCCTCTTCACCTCTGGGCTGGGGCAGCTAGGGGATTTTTGTGCACAGAAGATTTCACATACCCTCCCTACACTCCACCAGTCTGTTCCTCAACCTGCATTTCTCTCCATTTGCCCCTCCCACATCTGCATCCCATGAGCACCAGCCAATGCTCACCCCTACCACTTTCTCCCCTCCCCCCCATCCCTGGATCCCTCCCATCCCTGGGTGGCAGCTTTCTTGCAGACCCTGCTTCTTGCAGGTATAGATCCACACAGACACCCCCCAGACTTTAGAGGTTGGGAGTTGTGTTCTTATCTTTTTAGAAAAGGGGCAAGTAAAGGAAGCCCTCCTCAAGACACGGAGGGACACCTCTCTGGCCAAGTCAGAGTGGGATGAGGTGATCCCTTTCCAGGCCAGGTGTAACTTGAGAAGAAACCCTAGAGACCACTTAGTTTTGAGGCTGGGTCAACCCTGGCTGTGAGGCGTCCCAGGCAGGGAGTTGTCCCAGACTTGGAGCTATTCCAGGCTGCTCAGCTTATAGTCATCTAAGACTCAAGATTCCCCCCAGGCTGGGACTTGCTCACACTAAAGGGGAGCAGCCCCTCTTGGAGGGAGGAGGGAAGCTCAGGGCTTCCTAACTGGGCAAGTAGCCAGAGAGCCAAACCCTTCTGGCCTCAGAAGTGGATCCTCCATCCAGACTGCTGTGAACCTGGTGGCCAGGCAAGCTGCCCTGCCTGCCTTCCTGCCCCAGCCGCTCCTCACCTTTAGTTCCCCTCCCTATTCCCCACCTTGTCCTGGAGCCCCTTGCATTTGAGTGCACACTCCCATCATCCTTGTAAATTGTCGTTTATTTCTGTAGCCATTTCAATTGGGGGACCCCTTTATTTTGGGTGAGTGGGGTAAGAATGAGGAGTTTTAAAACGTGCTTCTGGACTTCTATGTAATTGTGAGGGTCCAGTATGAACTCACTACAGTAATCTTCAAAGAAAAAAATAAAAAAGCAAAACCAAAAAACCAAAGCCCTCCGAATTTCATTCTAGTCCAAAGGGAGCAAGGAACACCTTACTTCTTGGTTCGAGTGGGCTGTCCTCCTTACATATGGTGGGTCTGTTCAGGGCACATGGATGTCTCGCTAATTGGTGAGCTCACTTCTGTCCCTGTGTAAATGGGTGGTAGCATTTTATCTCATTTGGAACGTATAGGATTCTGTCTGGTCCTGATGTTTCCTCTCTAAATGTAGCAAAAAAAAAAAAAAAAAGGTGAGTCCCATGCAAACCAGGTAGTGGCAAACATTACGAGTTCACTTTGGGAGTACACTCATCTCCCTGCCCTGCCCGCAGCTTCCCTGGCTACTCTCCACTTTCCCTTGTTGGGCTGTGCCTCTGCTCCTCACCGGTACATTTTTGCTTCATAACATAAAGCTCTTGGCCTTGCTGAAGTGCCTGGGGATGTATTCAGAGCTCAGCCACTACTCTGCTACTCACTACTCTGCTACTCGGAGTGATTGGGTTCTGGAGCCTGTTGCTGGGCCCCCTGGAATGCAGGGAATTACGGCCCAAATGAGTTCCAAATGAGGAGCTGGGTGACACCCCCAGTGTTCCGCTCCTCCCCCTCCCATTTTATCTTTCTTAATTGATGATTCTCACTTCATCTTTGCAATGAGAGGAGGTATTAATTGGATGTGAAATTATTTCCCTGGACCAATTGATTTGATCTAGTTAAGGACAGTGGTTCCTAGTGGGGAGGCAGAGGCCAGGGAGGGATGTTCATGTTGAAAAACTTGGTTTTCCAGCTCTGTTTCTCTCCAGCGTGAGAACCAGTGCTTCTGTGGCTGTAAGCAAGCATTAGGAGAAATCTGGATTTTAGTACACTCTGTTGCTGGCTTTAAAGAAACAATGGTGTCATTCATAGCATTTATCTCCCAAATTCAGCACCTTTAATGCTTAACTAATAGATGTGGAGTTTAGCAGATTGTAGAGATTAAAATGTGTGGTGGTTTTGTGTGTGTGTGTGTGTGTGTGTGTGTGTGTGTGTGGGCACAGAGCTCTTGCATGCATGACTCTGCTTGGGAAGGATCACAGAGTTAATGAGTCTCCATTCCCACTCTTGTTTTGGGTATTGCCTTACTAAGTTCCAACCAAAACAAAGGTGAAAGCAACCTCAGGCTATTTGCAACCACAAGTCCTTTTTAGAAGGAGCAGGCTTCAGCTGGGAAGCTGTACTAAAGTGAGCAGATCAATCAATCAGTGGCAGACCTTAATATGAAGGGAACCTGGAAGGCAACCCCCTTCCCCTACTTTTTCCTCCTTTCTTGGGGTGCATACTTTTTAGATAAAGTACTTTTCTCCTTTTCTGGGGGGGAGGGGTACCAGGGATTGAACTCAGGGGCACTCAACCATTGAGGCACACCCCCAGCCCTATTTTGTATTTTATTTAGAGACAGGGTCTCACTGAGTTGCTTGGCTTGCGAGGCTGGCTTTGAACACGCGATCCTCCTGCCTCAGCCTCTGAGCCGCTGGGATTACAGGCATGCGCCACGGTGCCTGGCTTCTACTTCTTTTTTAAAGGAAACAGGCTATATGGAAAGGGAAATGAAATCATGAACATGATTTAGAAATAGATGTATCCTGCTCACCCACCCCGAATGGAAGGATTCAGGGCAGGTTATCTTGGAAAATCAGTTCATGAAACAGGATAGGGAAAGAGAAGATGAGGGGGTGCCCTGGGTTTCTCCTGTTTCGTAGCTATGATCTCAAACTGTGTACTTTGTGTTGGGTGATTTCTGCCAAAATCTGGAGTACTGGTGGTCGAAGGCATCTGGGGAGGTGGTGATGGTGGTGATGTTTGTGTGCCTTTTCAGTGTGAAGCACATTTCCAAAACGCTGTGAGTGAAATTCTCTGTGTTTTGCCTGGAATTACTGTGAGTCTGGATGACAAAGGAACCACTTTTTCCTGCCTTTCTTTCAGGCTTTGATCCTATCTTATGCAGAGGCCTCTGTTGCTACTGGTGCTTGCAGGACAGTCTTTTACCTGCTCTGTCCTCTGAAGTTTGGAAGTAATTTGAATCTAGATGGCCCTTTGACTGCTTGAAAAGAAAGGATGGCTTTAGGCTGAGACCTGATTTTGCCCCCTCTGGTTTTGAGTTAATGTAACCTCTGTAAAATCTGGCTTTAAAAATGAAAATTCGCTGGATCCTATGAAATTGTTAATTGGTACATTCTCATTCAGGGCTGAACTGAGTTGATGTTTAGATCAGGAAAATGATCATAGAATTAGATTCTGAAAAGTATCTCAATGACTTTGAGACGGAGAACCAAGTTGCAGAGCAGGAGCTTGGAGTGAGGACTTGGGAAATCCCGGAGCACGTGTGCTTCCTGCCCCTGGTATTGGTAACTGACACCTAATGCACAGTCTCTGGCCCATAATAGATTATTATTACATTTGACAAAATTGATAAAATATAGCTAGACAAGCATTATTGAGCAAAGTGTAAATGTGTATCGAGAGTAGAGCTGATTTGAAAGGCAGGCAAACTCATTATAAGGGCAACCAGAGTCACCCATTACCTTCTTTTGAGATTAAGAGACAAAATTGGGTACATAATGACTGCTTAGGATGTTTAAATATCTTGTTCTAACCTTTGGTTAAAGAAAAAAAAAAAAGCCTGTTTATCACTTCATTATCTATTTGGGGCTAAAAATAAGGATTGCGCGCTTAGTAAGTTGCCAATAATCAGCATAGAGCATGACAGTGACAGATACCTGGAGTGAAGGAGTTACTAAAAATACAATTTACTATGTTTTGCAGAGCAGGAAATATGACTAATTTTAGAGTTGGCCTTTTGGCAGATCTCTTTTTAGCAAGTATTTCTGAAACAAACAGGTGTTAAACCCTGTATTTCTTTTTAAGTGCTAGAAATTTAAGGGGTAATAGCTCTGGGAACAAGAAATGCTTAGAGAACTGGAAATTCCTATTAATCCTCAGCAGGGACTTCTTGGCAAGAAGGAGGCGTTTGCAAAAGCACCTGCTCAGTGTGTCCTGGGTGACAAGGCAGTGCCTATAATTTCCCAGATTGCATGCTGCAGTTGCGGGCACATTCTTTTGAACTTTCTGCCTGCCTCATCTTTTTGAAGTACTTAGGAATGGTGGAAATTGGCACATAGAGCTGGGTTCCTAGTGTTCATTGATACAGGTCCCGGGGACTTCAAAGGGTGCTTCGAGTCAGCGTAACAGTGCAGAACGGTGCCCACGAAGAGGAGTACAACCCTACATTTTCTCTGCAGGAGTTGGTTCCCGTACCTAACAATCAGACTTGGGTCTGCAAGAATAGAGAATTGTGCATGCTGCCCATTGTCCCTGAGCAGCGTGGCAATCATCCATCCCAGAGCTTACCCTCCCAGGAGGGGTTGGGAGTGGCCAGACTTGCCCACCCAAAGACATGGGCAGGCTGAGTGTTCTCTGTAGGAAGGCAGT